AGAAGTTTGAGGAGGAGTAGTAGTAGTATTAGGAATATTTTTTGAAGGATCATTTTTTGATAATTCTAAAGCAAAATCTTCACATCTCGAAACAACAAAATTAGAAATTTGAGTTAATTCAGCTTTTGCAGTTGCTTGATTTACTTGACTTTTTGAGTAACAATAAATATTACAACAAGTTTGAATAATTTTAAGTAAACTAATACCATGAACAGGACATTGTTCAGTAGTAACAAGAGTAAGTAATACTTTTAATATTTGAAGTTGAACAGTTTGATCAGTTTGAGGACCAGTAAATCCTATACAAACAGTATGAACAACATCATCAATTAATCGAGCAGGATTTGGAAAATTAGTTGAAGGAGGATTCGTAGTAGTAGTAGTAGTAGTAGTAGTAGTAGTAGTATTTGTGGTGGTGTTAGTAGTAGAAATACCACTATCAAAATTATTTGAATCATCATTATCAAAAGGAGTATCAGAAATATCAATAAATGATAAATCATTTGATTCACTAAATCCATTTGTTGAAGAAGAAGGTTTAATTTTTGAATCACGTTTTTTGGTAACATTATTTTTTGGAGGAATAATTGGACTTGAACCTTTAAGTAAACCATGAGCAATAATTTTTTGTAAACAATCCAAAGCTAATACACGAATACTAGTTGGAATTGAAGTACCACAAGCAATTCTAAAAGGTTGCCAATAATTATCAGCTAAAATTTTTGGTAAATCTTCACCAGCACGAGCAAATAAACTACTAGAGATTGATAAACGAGAATTAGCTTGAGAAGATAAACTTTGAGAATTTTTTGGTGAAGAACTAGTAGGTTTTAAATCTTTTTCAGCAGCAGCTTTTTCAGCAGCTTTTTCAGCACCTCTTTGACTAGTTTCACCAGCAGATCCATTAGTAGAAGATTGAGATTTTGGAACGTTATTAATAGTATTATTAATTGATATTGACCCATTTTCAGAATTATTTATTATAGGAGCAACATCGACAGTATCATTTTCAACTTTTGCTTTCAATTTTCCATTTTTTATAGCTTTCTTTTTCGCAATATAATTTATTTCTTGTTGAAGTTGTTCTAAAGAGGTAGTACAAGCTTGTTCAAGTTCTTTTTGCCTCCATGATTGAGCTTCGGCTAAAAGCCTTTCTAAAGCACCTTTAAGGATGCTCATTTGATATATATATTATTATCGTTTAAAAATCTATTTATGTCGTATAAAAAGGTCGTCGTCGTCGTCGTCGTTACTCGATTTTTAAAATGGGTTATTATTTTGATTCTCGAAATAAGAATAATGAAAAGAAAAAAAAAAATCAGGATATTCGATTTTTGAAAAAAAAAAAGTTCATTCAAGCCACAAAAAGAAACAAGCTTAGCCTTGAAGCTTAGAAAACGAAGCCCGCTGACCGGGCGGTGTAAAAAAAAAAAAAATTAAATTATGTATAACGATAACAATAAAAATTTAAGAAAATCAACGGGTATATATATAAATATGTATAATATATAATAATTAAACAATGTACAACAATCAAATTTCCCTGACCAGTCCCCACATGCCACGATAACAATTATATAAGCCACGATTTAAATTGACGTCGCATATCAAAATTTTTTTAGATCGACGGGAAATTTTTCAGTTTTTTTTAAACAGACCAATTGGTTCTGTAACCCGACCGGAGATCCGACTTTTTCTAAACAATTCTTATTGTTTGGTGGACTTTTTTTATTAAAAAAAAATTAAGAACTAAAGCCAGGTGCCGGGTCTTCCCTTTAAATTTTAAAATAACGTTGTTCTAACGAGATAAATGGGATGTTTTTGCACTGAATTCAGATCTGTGATAACCTAACCTATTTCTACAGTAAAATAGGTTTAATAGGTTTAATTTAGAAATATATATGATTTACAGCAGCAAGTCGCTTATCATCAAAAGAGCGCCAAAATTTCAAATATAAATTTACATGTATATATTAACCAATCATAATTATTTATTTAGCTAATTTTTGATTGGATAAAAAATTTTTATAAAATATATTTTTTTATACATAGAAA